TAGTTTATAAACTCATTTTCTCATGTGTGTGTGTGCGCGTGCGTGTGTGTTGTATGACATTACTTTTAAAACTTCCTTTCCACTTCACAAATTTTCCAAAACCATATCTATTTACATATAAATGATCAATTTCACAAAAATTTATAAACAATTCAACAAGTAAATAAACAAATTAGATTATTTACATGTTGGACAATTCTAAGCCCTAATTGGTATGAAGTGGTATGTTGGACAATCTAAGCCTTAATCAACCTCCACAAGCTTCATACCACTTCTACTAATCCAATCAACACCAATATAGAATTTTTCACAATTTAATCCTTGCATTTGAGGCTAGAATTCAGCCAAAACCCCAATGCTTACACAATAAACACTAATCTTAAGTGTAAGAACTCAATTTAACTCCTAACAACCCTATAAGGTCATTAGGGCCAAATAAAAACTCTCTATTAACTCAGACTTCATTTTCACACATCTCAAACTAAGAGAAAATATAGTAGATAAGGAGAGAAGGGAGCTACGAAGCTTACCTGAAAGATGATAGGTCAAAATCAACTCTCAGCTGGCTTTGATTTGAAGCCCTAACAGAGGGACCTCTTTTCTCTTACTTCTTGTTGTTCCTAAGCCTTTTTCCTCTTTGTCTCTCATGATTTGATCTATCCTATTAAATAAAATTTGGCCATATCCATCGTGGCAAGTGGTACAAAATCATACCACTTGATTCTAAGTCTTCACTTGAGCCCAGTTGGCTCAATTGTCATCCTAGCTCAATTCCAAAGCTGTCCAAACATTCCAATATCCATTAGTGACTCCGAAAACATAATTAAATTATAATTTACTAACTATATGCTATCAATTCATAATTTTTAGATTGGAAATTTGGAATGTTACAATGGCGATGAGGGAAACATTAACTACCAATAGTTGTAATCAGTAGGAAAATGTTGAAGCAAGTATGGATTGGAAAATGATGATGCAAATGCATATGCAACCATATGCTTGTGTGGAAGGCATTGCTAGGCAAAGACGAAGGGAAGAGAAAACGAGAGAGGATAAGCTTAGTTGAAATGCTACTTAGTACACAAGGATGGAGATGGAGTTTGCAGAGATTACCAAAAGGATAAAGTTTTGGCCAGAGAGGCTTTCAAAGACGAAGGTGAATTTTTAAGGATGAGACAAAATGATGTTCACGCAATGTGGGATTGGTCAGAGAAGGCGTCCGAGGATACAGCCTAGGCTATGTATGGTAAAGCTAGGGTGGCTCAGTTGATCCATTGTTTCTGGTGGAGTTTCCATCGAGGATGACCTCAAAAGATTTGGGAATCAATAGATGGGTTATTTATTAAAAATAGGAAAAACAAAGATATTTTAGTAATTATATATATAAATATATTTAAAATAAAATATTTGGGATTTGGGGATTGTTTGTGCATTTCATGTGATGTTATAATAATTTGAATCCCCATGAGGGACTTTATTGTTGTTTTTCCATAAACTTTTGTCCTATACTTAGATTAAGTTGAATTATGAAATTTAGAAACGTAGTTATAAATACTTCGCAGCTTATTTAAGAAAAAGTTCAAGTCTCATATTTAGTATATAGAAAAGTGTTTTCTAAAAAAAAGGAAAATATATCTAGAAAGAAAATAAAATAGATATATTTCATCTTCTTATTACAAAATATTTTTTATACACCAAACACGTATTAACAAATTACTTATATTTTCATCACTGAAAATGTGGCTTGGTCATAAAGATATCAACGATTCGCTATTGTTTTTAATAGAAGTTAAGGAAAAAGGGTCGTTTGTCCAAAATAAGGAAGGAGGATATGAGACATCTATGTTTCTCCTAATGGGGTAATTGAAGTTTAAATTTTTATTGATAATCATATTTATATTTAGTGTCAAATTATATTTAATATTTTACCTCTAACAAGAAAATATTTATGAGGGAAAAAAAGTAAAAAAAAAAAATACGAAAACAATAAAGTGGTGAGGTAGAATTTAAACATGTTGATAATACATAAAGGGTCTCCAATCTCGAATACGAAATGATGATTTGTGTTTTCTCTTGTTCGGATCCTCATCGTACAGATGAGCACGCCAGCCGACATCACCTGTAATGTAAGGCTGAGCCCTTCATTTTCTCCTCAAATGATTTATATTATTAATTTTAAATTTTTTTAAAATATTTTTAATATTATATTTATCAAAATAAAAATATATAAAAATTATAAAAAAATTAATATTATTTTAGCATATAGAATATATTTAAATGAAAAATCTGTAAAGATTAAAATTTTTAATATTAAATTAAATCTTTCAAATTATATCTATACAATACAAAATGCATTTAAATAATTAATTTATAAAAATTATTAAAAAATTAATGTTAAATTGGATCATCCCAATTGAATCTGTACGAAACAAATTGGTGATAAGCAATTTTATTAAGGATTTCTATACTTTTATATATTTTTATTTAAATAAATATAAAAAGCCTAAATTTATACTATCCAGATCTTATAAAAAGGGATGACTAACATAGCATTCATCCTCTAATAAATATGAAAAATAATTCATATTTAATATTAATTTTTCATAATTTTTATTTTAATAAATATAATATTAAAAAAAATTTAAAAAATTTAAAATCAATGATAGAATCATTTAAGAAGAAAGCGCCGTGATGATCAGGATAAGCATAGAATGAGGATCCCTCTTTTTCGGCCCATTTGATATCTTGTCCTGCGTTTGAGCTTTAACTTATTATTCTCCCACTTTCTTCTCCCTTCCTCCCCTTCATCAACACGTGTCGCTATTAATTTCGTAACAAGAACAACCATGATGGATTTGACATGTTTTAAAATTAATTTTGTTTTTTTCAATTCTCCTTTCATTAAAACTAACGAAGAAAAAATATAATATATAATGAATCATTAAATTAAATTATAATTAATTAACACTTATAAAAGAAATTAATTAAAATTTTGAATTTTTATTTTAAAATTTTTACATATTTATAATAATATATTTAAATGAAATATATATAAAATTAAATTTATTAAAAACACCTTCATTCATTACTTGAGTAGAGTATAATAAATTAAGAGTATAATTAAAAAATATATACATATATGAAATTAAATATTTTATATTATAGATCAAGCAATGCTTTTAAAAAAAATATCTTATATTATGATATAGTAAAAGTGATAAATAATCTTGTATGCTTTTTATGTTAATAATTAAATAATTATTTTAAAAAATGTTTTATAATAAAAATAAGGCACCGAGCAGGGTAGTGTATTTAAATTTTGCCGATGTAAGTTATTAGTGGTTAGAACGGTCATTAAGGATTGGAGTCTTCAAACCACTTGTTTAAATCACATACTTTCTCTGTTTAAAAATATAAAATATTTTTAATAGAATCTCATTTTAATAAAATAATTATTTACTTTTAAACTAACTCTATATTTTTATATTTATTTTTATTAAATACTTTATAATAAAAATAAATTCATTATCAATAGAGACAGTTTAAAAAAAAAGATAATAATTACACCTCAAAAGACTAAAATAATATTTAACATTTAAAAAAAAATACTTTATATTTTTAAACGAAAGGAGTATTTTTTTTAAGGCTTAGATTTAGGAAAATGGAAAACTAAAAAACTTTTAAACTCTGTCCTCATAACTAATATTTTTTTTTTTTGAAAACAGGACTTGTTCTTGTTCTTTTAAACCATGTATATATTTCTCTCTCTTTTTTCTTTCTTTCCCATTAACGTGCGGCTAAAGTTGTTAATATTACAAAATAATATAACTAAATTGTTTAGTTTATTTTATTTTTTGAATTAATCTATAAAAATATAAAATTTAGTAAATTATGTATTAACATAATTAAAAATTTAAAAAAAAATAAAAAAAGTTATGCAGGCTTTCAACTTCACCTCGACTCTTGTCAATAAAAAACTGTACTTGAACTTGCAATGTTACACCAAAACTTTGCTTAATTAAATGATATTGCATCTCTTCATATTGCCACTCCCTCCCATACTTTTATAAATTAATGTAGATTATGTACATTATTTAAAAGTTATGGGAAAAATTTTAAGAAATAAATTATAAATAGTGAATTTTTCAAACAAAATTAGTCCCTGTTCCCAATTCACTGTCTGAAGCCGCTATCTTGTCTGAACTTTGGGCCTTTTTTGTTTTTTACCCTTTATCATTCAGGGCAGAATATCACGTGGTATGAAGAAAGTAAAGGTACACCCCAATAATAATGAAGGAACAGGGTTCTTGATTTTTATCATGTTCCTATTCCTCATTTTTGCAATTCATGTTTTTCTTGTAAATTGCTGCTAATCACGTCTAAATTATAAGAAATACGTTGTAATTTTTCTTTAAAAAGGAACTTGGTAATAAAAGATAAGACTCCACATGTTTTTATAAATGAAATGAGTTTTTAGTCCTAAATTATATATTTAAGATGATGAATTCATTTTTGGTATAAACTTTTTATCTAACTTTTTAAAATGATACAATCTAACTTATCAAATGTTAACGTTGACCTTTAATTAATCAAAAAATTATAGAAAATAATGTCAAAAATTACAAAAAAATGATATAAAAAATTGTTAAGGTCTTTTTTTTAAAATAATTTTTAAATTATTATTTGTAATTTTTGAGCATTCTTACTTTTTTGTTATTTTCTGAGGTTTTGAGGTTCTTTTCTGATTGACATTATATTATTTTTAAAAGTTAAAAGAGATAAATTAATATTATACTAAAAATAAATTTAATGTCTTAGATATTTTTGGATCTATATATATATATATAATTTAAGGGTGAAATTATCTATTTATCCTAATTTATTTAAGCAATGGAGTCAATAAGTCAAGTAAAGAATGAATGAACTAAATTATACAGGACAAAACAAATATATCCAGAATAAAATTATCATGTAAGAAGCATATATACTGTTGATGGCTGTTGAGAACAACTGAGGAGAGTGAGAGAGAGCAGAAATGAAGAAAAGGGTGAGAGATTGTGTCATGTTTGTGAGCTTTTTATGCCTAATTACCCTAACCTTCACTGAGTCTGCAACTGTAAGAGGAAGTGGTGGAAGCAGAAGACGACGATCCCCTGTAGATATATCAGTAGGAGTGATTCTGGACTTGAATTCATCACTTGGTCACATGGCTCTCAACTGCACCAACTTCGGACTCCAAGATTTCTATTCCACAAATGATTCTTATACCACCAACCTCCGACTTCACTTCAAGGATTCTGGAAACGATGTCCTCACCGCAGCTTCTGCAGGTAATTTTGAAGTAATTATGATGCTTAAATGTTTATGTCCCCACAAATTAGCAGTGATATCAAGATTTTCTTAAGAAAATGTTTGTCAAATTGTCACAAGTTCGATTTTTGTTCTTCTCCCATGTTTCTGGTTGTTGATGATATGAAACAGAGAATCCCCTGCCTTCGTTTTCACGAATTCCTAACCCCCTTGCCTACCCATGAGCTTAATTAGCATTTCTCGTGATTTTTTTTTTTGGGCATCAAATCATTCCATACCTAAAAATCTAGGCTAATTTGTATTTAGGTTAAAACTCTGCCAAAGTTTAAATTGTTGGTTAAATGATACATAACTCCTCGTGAAATTTGAATTGCGGGTAAATAATCTCCAAACCTTCAAAACTTTAAAATTAAAGGGCATTTTTACATGTCAGACACTTGCTTATTTTAAACTCCTTTGTGTTCCAATTTCTCATTTCAACATTGGAGAACAATGTATTGGGTACCTAGTTGAAAAGGTTAACTTTGACAGCATCTCTTATTTTTTATATTTGGCATCCTTTAGACTAGATAAAAAAACATTTGTACTGTATGTAATATTTTAATGATCGAGATAAGATATAAAAAGCATGCTTACATAGAAGATTATATCAACATATTTAATATAATTTTATAAAAAGAAAATTTTTTATCAATCCATTTATGTTATTACAGTTTTAATTTTATTGGAAATTTTTTAAATTAAATTATCTTGTATCATTGGCTCTACCACTGCTTTGACAGCTAGTTGACTTAAAAAATCGTAGAAAAGATATCGAAAATTACTCAAAAGGATTACAGTTAACTCATTTGTAATTGTTTGAATGTTTTTTGCAATATTTTTAACAACTCATGATCAAAGTTATTTTTTTTAAATGGTAAGGTGTCGTTAGTTAAAAAAAAAAAGACAACGTGTCTAATAATTCACAATTTCGAAATATTGGAAGGGAAAATTGCTCAACAAATAAACTTAGAATACTAGATATTTCTAATGAATAATTAAAAGATAAAAATGTCCTCCAACCCACAATTTTGTAATAACCTTCAAAACTTTTACATTTATGTACAACCACTGGGCCACTGCCAATGATTGATCTGTTATTTATTTCTCTAAAATAATATAATATGATAGAGGGGTTATAGAGATGTTATCTACACATAACTCAAGATCTGAGGGGATTATCTACCTAGAAAATAAATTCGATATTTGGTTACTAACTTAAAAGTTTAGGATTTTTTTAATATAAGTTTTAATAATTGGCGACATGACAGTTATCTGTAAGATCATGTGATTATTTAGATAAATGACGATTTTTCTATAATTTAGCCAAACCATTTTTTTTTCATAAGCTAAGATTGAAATTTTAAAACCTTGTTTAAGATATTTATTAGGGAGAATAATATTTAAGAACCTATTAAAAATATTAATTAAAATTAAAAATTAAGAATCCCAAAATTATGAAATTTCAAGAAAAAAAGAAGACCATGGTTCTCGTCTAGGATTAAAAATTTTAATACTCATCTTTAGCATTTTCAATATATAATTTTTAAATAGTCATCTTACATGTTTCAGTACTTATCTTATATATTTTTAGTACTTAAAACTTTTACCTTTAATTATTTTTTGTAGTGAAACTATAGAAGATAGGTATTGAAAATATCTAACTAGGTGAGTATTGAAAAAAAAAATTGAGTAATGAAAATACTAAAGATGACTTTTTTAATTCCATCTGGAATGAAAAAAAATTTAAAAAAAATTCAGGGTTCGAGGATCATCTGAAATGATAGGCTAACATAGGATTGGACCAAGAGAAGTGCATTTAAGATTAAGAGCTATGCCTATAAAGTTGTTTAAATTACATAAAAAGTCTTTTAATTTAGTTAAAATTTCATTTTCATGCGTTGGCCAATCAAGGGAGGATTTTCATAAATAAATCTTACTAGCAAAATAGAGGTTCTCATGTCAATCTAAGTTTACAGGAACAAAACCTAACCTCAAGGGCGCTTCACTTGGTCCAATCCCATTTGAGCCTGTCATTCCAGATGATCTCCAATCCCAAAAATTCATCTACCGCAATGGGTTGCAGACATTGCTATGCAACATGGACACCTTACATGGATAGAATAAACTTCCATAATTCATGAGACCAAGCTATTTCAAAGCCATATACTCTTTCCTCCTGATAGCCAAGATCCATATGAGAGAGAATCTAGATTTTGTCATTAGTTCCCTAAAGCAAGAGGCTTTTATGCTTCAAAACAATCCAAAGAGCTAGTTGATAGAGAGGCATAGTGGGAAAAAGAAAGCATAGCATGACACTTCAAGAAAGAAGAAACAAAGTATTTTCACTACTAGAAAAATTAAAATTAATAACTAACATTTGATAGGTATTCGTGATGAAACCTTTATCACAGACTAAAATCTATTACTTATTACATAAGTTAGTGATAGAATAGTAACAGATATATGATGTCATCATATTTTGATCAAATTTTATAAATTTAGTGACAAATTTATATTAATGACATATAAGTGATGGACATTTTTTAATTAAAAAATTACTAAAATATGCTTAAATATTATGAAAAAAATAAAAAATTATAATACACATGGAAAGAATTAAATGAATAAAATATTAATAATTACTAAATTAAATAATTACATAAATAATTTTTCTCTTATTATAAGTAAAATACATAATATAAAATGATATAGAAAAATAAAAATATTTTTTATTTTATTATGTAAATTAATATGAAAATAAAATTTTTATCATATAAAAATATTTTAATTATGACATAGATAACGTAAAATGATATAAAAATTATTTATTTTCATAAAATATATATTGATGTTAAATAATATATTTATTAAATAATAATATATAATAATTTATATATTTATACGTGTCAATATGTATGTATATAAATTAATATATATATATATAGTATCAACATATTTAAATAATAATATATTGAAAACATATTAAGTTAAATATATATGTTTAATTAAATTATATATATATATATATATATTAAATTTTGTATTTTAAGAATGAAAAGTCAGTTCAATTCACAAGAAGTGCGGATGACAAGAAGGAGGTCTTGGGTTTAAGACAAGGTAATGTCATAAGTAAAGATAATTAAAATAAATTATTGACATGATAGTGATTTGGTATGGAGAACTAAGTAGCAATGATCTGGTGGATGGTGAGGGTGATGTGTACTTGAGGGGCATGGGGAGGTGACATTTCAGTATTTGAACCTATTAAATTTTTTTTAATTGTAAAATAAATTAGTAATTGACATTTATTAATTAGTAACAGATATTTTTCATAATTAAATTAATGACGGATTCATATTGTCTATGTCATATTTATGATGAAAATACAATCTATCATTAAAGCTAAGATTAATGATTGTCCATCATTAATTTCATTTTCTTCTAATAGCCGCCCTGTCTTTTGATCAAGAATATATTTACAAGCCACTGAGATAGATAAATCGTATCTTTTCCTTCTGTCCACGTATGGCTTTTACTTTAGCTTTACTTTCGCTTTCGCTTTCGCTTTTGTTTTACTTTTCTAAAAGTAGACTTAAGTTGGCAGACGTGTATCACATATTCCATGTCGTCTTTCTCCTCCATTCAACTATAAAAGGGAACTTGAGTGGTGAAGTAAGGCAAAATTTATTGTGTTTGAATAGTCTGCAAGCACTATCAGCCAAAGAATAAAATCAGTGTGTTTTCTTGATGTCTCTCTTTTAAAATTATCTCTTTTCTCATAAAAGCTTGACTTGATAAAATCTTACTTGTATAATATAGAGATTCAAATGTGTTTTGCACTAGCCTCTATAAGGAACTTGTGTATCAAAAAAAAATTTGACCACGATCTATGAGTGTAAACCATGTTAATATGCTTCTAGAACCATAGTTGTTTTATCAAGGGATTGAGGATTCTAAAGTCTCCATATTTACCCAAAAGTTACGTTGAGAAGGCCTTAACTTGGATCAATATTATCCCAAGATACAAAGAGGATGAGCGAAGTGATAAACTCTCGGGTCTTAGATGAAGTGATGGAGGCTGCATTGGATTGACTATTGAGTATTGAGAGAAAGAAAAAAGGGGGAAAAATCAAAAAATCAAGGAAGAGGGAGAAAGTTCCAGAGAATGAACAAAACCAGAATGCCTATAATGATATTTTTAAATAACCTTAGGGGTAATTTTATATTTTCATAATTTATATGCATTAGAAATAACATTAGGTCTCTTAGGATGGAGAAACATGCTCGGTAAGTAGCAAACAAGACGTTAAACCAATGTCTTAATGGTTTAATAAAATGCTTATTTATGATGGGTTTGATCATATTATACATTCTTGTACTTTGTTTAGAACCTCTCAATAATTAAGCACATTTAAGCGACTTATTTGAGATTAACTTGCCTTGGTGGTTTTTCAATGTGATTTTGATCCCTTCTTTATTTATAAATCAAATTTTATAAAGCACTTGCAAATTAAACTAAAATATCATTATCTTTGCATTAAGCAGCTAGGGATCTAATAAACAAGGAAAAGGTGCATGCAATCCTTGGACCTCAAAGCTCTGAGCAGGCAAGGTTTGTTGTAGAACTTGGTTACAAGTATCATGTTCCAGTCATCTGGTTTTCTCCATCTGGTCCATCTCTTTTGCCACCTCGTTCCCGATTCTTCATCCACTCTGACTTCGCCAGCAGAAGCCATTGCTTTCAGTTCAGAGCTATAGCAGCCATTATTAAAGCTTATAATTGGCAATCTGTGATCCCCATTTATGAAGAGCCAGAATTCGGCTACGACCTCATTCCATGTCTCACTTATGCCTTGGAAGAAATGGACACTCGAGTTCCTTACATAAGTTCCATAAAGCAAAATTCCAATGATACTGAAATCAAAGATGAGCTTGACATGCTCAAAGACAAGAGAACACACGTGTTTCTCGTCCACATGACCGTGGAGCTATGGTCAAGACTCGTGAAAATTGCAAAAAATGCAGGCTTGATGAGTAAAGGATATGCTTGGATACTTACCCAAGGGCTATCTTCTGTGATGGATCCCAAAACTAAAGGTATTCAACAGAAAGGCTACATGGATGGTGCATTGGGTGTGGGGCCATCGGTATTTTCCAACAAAAATGACATCATAAGGAAGCGCATTTCCATAGCAACAAGATTAATGATTTACAGTAAAACTCTCTCTCTATATGGCTTGTGGGCTTATGACACTATTACAGCATTGGCCAACGCAGTAGAGAACGCCGGCTTTGTGAATTCTAGTGAAAGCAGAGTTAATCTTGTAGATGCAATTTTGGGTACCCATTTTGCTGGCCTGTCAGGGAGTTTCAGTTTAAGGGAAGGAGAGCTAGAACCATCCGAAGTTGTAGTCTATAATGTGAGAGGACTAAACAATACTATCATTGGATATTGGAGCCCCGGAACAGGACTCCAAAATCACAGTGTAAATGGTGAGCAAATTGGTAAATACAAACTAATGGATCCGATATGGTGGCCGGGTAACACAACGGAGAGACCACCAAAGTTGAAAATTGGAGTCCCAAGGACACATTTTATTGAATTTGCTAATGTTACTGATGTGTCTTTTGATGGCTTTGCTATTGATGTGTTCAAAAAAGTGGTCGATGTTTTGCCATTTCCTTTACCTTATGAGTTTGTAAACATCAATGGGGAGCAAACTCCCTCAAGCTATGATGATCTTCTTTGCAGTATCACAGACAAGGCAAGTTTTCACTCATTTCTCTTGCTTTAAATTGTTATGAGCTTTTCTGTTTGTCATTATCAATCATGATATTGGTATAGTTTCTAAAGGAAGCTTCTGTACGTATACACTCAGTAACATCACATGATATGCCAAGGGACAGGACTAGAATTTTTTTTATGAGGTGTTGAGAATTTTTTTAGTAAGTAATATGATCTGCATGTATAATCCTTGTACCATGTTACAAATGTAAATTATGCTTATGAATGTGAGATGTTGTCTTGATCTTTACACTTGATAACTGATATATATCATCAGTGATAGAATGCTGGCCACAAACATACACAGTTGTATATATGGGGATTCATTTGATTCCAACACTTAATGGGTGTATGAAAATATTGCAGAATGTTGATGTTGATGTCATAATCGGAGACATTACAATTGTAGCGAGTCGCACAAATTGTGTTGACTTCACATTGCCGTATTTAGATTCAAGCGTGTCCATGGTGGTGAAGGTGAGGTCCGACACCAAAAGTCGGTGGATCCTCTTCAAACCTTTTGATTGGTTACTTTGGTTGATTCTTGGTGCGATTTTTGTGGGTGCAACCGTTATTGTAATTATATTAGAAAGAAGAAACAAGGCTGCCAATGGAAGCAAATTCCAACACTTTGCCTGCAATCCCTTCCTCATTTACATGAGCGGTGAGTTCTCTTTCGTTGCACAATTGAATATATATATGTGTGCGCACGCGCGCATATATCAGAATAGGAAAAATGACATTTAAAGACCCCTAAAAATATTAATTAATTTAAGAATAGTGGAATTTTGAAATTTCATATATAAGAGTCATGATCCTTGGCTGGAATTAAATTTTTTGAGTCAATTTTTTTACCAAAAAAAGTTGAGGTGAGTTGGATGATTAGATTTAGGGACTGATTAAAGTCAAACATGCTTCTAAATTTAAAGAGTACGTACAAACACACTTTTAAGATTATTATTACATCAACAACAAAATTTGATCCTTATTTTCAATGCTTGTATTCCATATTTTTACTATTCATCTTCTATATTTTCAGTGCTCAAATTTTTAATTTTTTCAGTAGTCATCTTAAATATGTTTAATACTCATCTTTCACAATTTTAGTAATGAAAAGAATAAACAATTAAGTGTTGAAAATATGGAAGATGACTATTGAAAAAAATTAAAAAATTGAATATTGAAAATTTAGAAATTGAGTATTGAAAATATGGAACATGAGTACCAAAGAATTCACTTAGAAAGCTTTAAGTCTAACCAAGGATGATAGTCCTTTTTGGAATTACAAAATGTCGGTTTCTTTAATTGTAATTAATATTCTTAGAAGTTATTTCCCCCCAGAATATTACTACTTTCCTTTTATAGTTTCAAGTCACCTAGAAGCTTTTCATGTTCCTATTTATTAGTCATTTTGTAAAATCCATGAAGCAATTAACTTTTATTCATGTTTCAACTTGTTACTTATAGCCTATCTGACATGTATCAATTCCAGATATTGGGTCTTTGAAAAGCAAGACATCTAAATGGGTGGTGATAGTGATCACCTTTTTTCTGGGGCTAGCGTTGCAAGTTTACACAGCAAATTTGACATCAATTTTTACAGAGAGAACAACGGCAAAACCTTCTCCATGGAGGGATGTGCAAGAGATTAAAAGGAACAATGGGTCAGTGGGATGTCAAAAGGATTCCTGGGTCAAAGGCCTTCTCATTCACCAACTAGGACTCAAGGAAGATCAGATAAAGGATTATGCAAGTCCTCAAGAGTACAACCATGCTTTATCAAATGGAACCAAAAAAGGAGGTGTGGATGCTATTTTTGATGAAACTCCGTATCTCATGCTCTTCCTTTCCAATTGCTCTTCTTGCAAGATGACAGGACCAATCTACAAAACTGGTGGATTTGCCTTTGTAAGTACTGTTACTGTGTTACTCTCCCCAATATACCTTCTTCCATATGGCATATGAAAAACTTCAATGACGTACTGCATGTTGTGTTTTCAGGCATTCCCAAAGAGTTCTACTTTGGTCTCGAATTTCTCAACTGCAATATTGAATGTGACTCAAAATGTGAAGACATTTCGTGACATGAAGAAGAAAATATTATTACCTGTCACCATTGACAAATCTGAATACAAAAGTGAAGTGGAGAGGCGGAGTTTGACGATAGATGACTTTGGAGGCTTTTTCCCGATAGTATTGTTTGTATTGGTTCTCTTTTTCGGCCTTGCATTTCGTAGAGCTCTTGAAACTAAAGATTCACCTAATCCCTCACCGGCTTTATAAGAAATCGGTTTCATTTTCAAGTGCGTTGTGCTTTGAAGTTCCACCTACCTAACATTTGTGAAATAAATGTGTTATGTATGGGGATCTTACTGTGAATAGTCCAAGTGATAAGAATAAGGTGATGTGAAGAAAAACTATAAGCTTGAGACCTTTTGGTTGTCCTATCTGTTTTTTTTTTTTTTTTTGGGCAGAGATTGTCCTATCTGTTATTTTGTAATAAATGATTTTTCAAGTTCTCTTATTTCTCTTTCTTCAGTTAGTCTATTATTTTTCAACACAATATCCACCGTATATAAGGTTAGTTTAGTATGTATGCGTATCTTGATATTGTCTGCAATATCTTGCACTAGATTATTACATGGAGGAGGGTGAAAAACACAATTTTAGTGCCCTTTTCACATTGGAGCTTGGAATTTCTGGTGCAACAATTTCAGTTTTGACCCCACAAAAACAAGACTATAATTTAATGTTTTACTGGAGGGAATTTTATTTAGTCTTGGAACTTGGAACTCAGTGACACTACTATCAAATAACACTAAAATTAATAAAAATTAAATTTTATAATAAAGTATAATATAGGTCATCTTCTAAGAGTTAATGGATTAACTACTTAAATTATGATTATGAAAGGGTAAATAATGAAGAATTTTTTTATGATGAAATTAATTAAAAACTAAATTAAAATTAAATAAAGAAAATTCAATTGAGAAAATTATTAAGAATAAGCAGTGCAATTAATCACAACCCAATCTTCCAAACTTACTCTTCCTCATCCACAAAATAAATTAATTTCATTTAAATTTATTATTTTAGTTTTATTATATTTTTGTCAAATTATTATTCAAGAATTAAATAAGAAATTAATTTATAGATTAATTGAAATCTTCCTTAACATACAACCTAACAACTGTTCTAAATTAACCATACCAGAAACAAAACATGAATAATCACCCAAGCTCAGCCAAATCACTCTTAAATTACTATATCAATTGATTATAGTAAGTAAATTCTCAAATAAAATTTATAATTCAAAAATCATGCAATAAAACTACTCTAACCAATAATAGTAATTAAAATATAAAATTTAGAAGTAAAGAGAAGAAAAATAAATTAAAATAAAGTTAAAATAAAATATTTTTTTAATATTAAAAATTTTGATTAAAGTTTACAATGATGATTTATAACTGATCACACTAATACTTTAATTTTTCATATAACTAAAAATCCAACAACAGAAATTGAGAACTCATCGCCTCGGTAGCTGAAGAACAGAGCAAAAGACGCGATTGCCTCTGCTTCTTTGTAAAAGTCGTGCTTCTCCTCCGTACTCTATTGTTTGCTTTATATATACGTATATAAAGTGATGCGTTCCTGTGCGTGGCTAAGGGAAGTCTAATAATTTAATAAAATGATCAAACTATTTTAAATAACTCTAATTAAAAAATACACTAAAAAACTCAACAGAAATATAAACAAAATTTTTAAAATTTAATTATTGATTTGATCGCCAAACATGCTCATATTCTTTTTATCCAAAATAATCTCTATTAATATCTTCTAAATTAGATCCAGAGAATCTGCATAAATAAAATAAAATTAAATAAGAAATGTGCAAAATTATCAAAGATATTATTTATACCTTAAAATTCAAGATTTAGTTAGTTAAAATCTCAAAATTAAAAATTGACTAATAAAATCAAATAATAATCAATTAAACTTGATTAGCCTTAATTAAATATTTAAAAGTCTAAATTAAAAGAATGAAAATGTATAGAATTGTCATTTATCACTTGGTATGCTGGAAAGAGAAACCTCATTTTCGAGATAAAGAAACATAAGTTCATGTCTTGGCCCTCCACAAGTTTGTGTTAGAACAGCATCCTTAAAAAAACATTCCAAATATATGCATACCCTCAACCTGAAAGAACTAGCCTTTGGGGTTCCATAAAATGGAGCAACAAATGCAGAATTCATCACCTTTCCAGAGCCTTCAAATAGCTTCCAATCTAGAAAAGCATACTGTGGCAAAGCATCATCATTCATGGTCATGCTCAGCCACAACCTTTTATCACTAGTGATATGGTGGAGAGTGATATCACACTCAACACCAACTGCTAGTCCAGAAACAAAAGAAAGTGGGTGTTCAGAGTCATTATTCAGAATATTTAGCTCTGCTCGTACATGTCTGATTGTTCCACAACATCGAACTGCTTCAGGGAGAAGAATTTGAGACACTTGCAAGACTCTAACGAACTCTGGGAGGCTTCATTTATGGAGGTTCCAGCTTCAGATAACAATTTCCGAAGTTCAACCACGAATGTGGATGGCATGACAGAGCTTTCTTTAAGGAGAGATTCTACATGTGAGTGTGACAGCAGATGTCAACTTTACACAGCCTGAGGACACAAGTCACTGACATTGGCTCTAAGACATTCAGTTATGATCATAAATATAGAAGCAACGAAAAATACAACCCTGGTGCTGAAAAAACAGGCAGAAAGCACTGCTAACATACCTCACCAAAGGATTATCACAAAAATAACCCATAGTAAACTTAGATCAAGATCTGTAACCAAACTAACAAATAAAAGAGAAAAACATAGTAAAAAAGGAAAATAGAGCAACAACCCTAAAAAAAAAAAAAGCATAAAACAAAGTAGCCTAAAAACTATGTTAATATTTAAAAAAAGCTGAGTTGGCAAGAAAAAGTGATCTAGCGGTGGAAGCAGGGGAGTGAACAAGGCGGTGAGAAAAACAGAGTTTAATGATGGATTCGGTGGTTGTTCCATTGCAAGCTTTAAAAACTATGTATTATATGGCAATTAGTATTTAGCGGCTGTCTAAGGTTCAGGAAAAAAAATTTGCACATCGTTATCTTATGTTTTTTTCATCCTTAATAAATGCTTGGGCTGAATCCAATATATAACTATGATTTATGGTTGTTGGAAGCCGAAATGATTTAAAAATAAATAAAAAAGAAGGTTTTTCCTTTTTCTTTTGTCTCTCCTTTCACTTACTTTTGCAGAACGACCAAATAACTAGTTTACTTGGTGATGTTGATCAACTCCTGGGAAACTGCATATCACCTTTGCAATAACATAATAAATTATCGGAGTCATGCACGTGTACTTTTTGACCAAATCTTATCTCTTAGATGGCCATAGGTTTGAGTTTTATGATAACGCTTTTTCAGAGAGAGAGAGAGAGAGTGATTTGCATGATTCAGTTGTGGAAATGTATTGGTCAGAACTCATAAGGTGTCTCTCTGTGATGAAATTTTCAAAGATTTTAATCCTTGTCAATAAATCTAAGAGTTCCTTGCAAAAATTTGGGAACATTTCCCCCAAGAGAAACTGATATGTTCTCGTGCAATGGGAGAATTAGACTACAAACTGGCAAAGCTTGATAGGACTATTAAAAAATTCAGGAATCAGTTCTTAGGGTTTTCTCTCACCAATATTTTATGAAAGATAAAAAGGCAAGCTTGTAAAAAAAATTAATGGCATGATTTATAAATAACATCAAAAAATCATTCTTCCTCTTCCTTATAACTAAGATCAAAGGAGTAGTAGTTAATTTTTGTTTCCAACAATATTACCTCTCCTCAATTGCTTGCTAGCGAACTTTAAATTCCTGAATAAGCTTTATTGCAATAATTAATTTAAATAAAAGGTAAATTAAAAAATCACAATTTTTTTATAAATTTAAAAATATTAATCATCCTTCCTTGACAACTGTAAAGTAATAATTAATAGATGGAGTAATGATATTGGCAATAGGCAGCAAATTTAAGTTTGAGTTGTACCGAAAAACATTATTCTTAAGAGCTATTTTAGTATACTAATCTATTCGCACGGCAGCTCCCAGAATTAAACAAGTTTATCCTGCAAAATAGTCAAGGCAACCAAATAGCAAAAACTAACAAGAATAAACCCACATAGCACAACATAGCACATGAAGGAGGAGGAGAGAATTAGCTTGAAAGCTCAAGAGCTAGGCATTGGACTCATTTGGTTTCTTGGTATATATAGATTCAAGGTAGCTACACTTCCAGTTGGTCTCAACACACAATTGAGGAGCAGTTTTAGAATCGTAAAGCCACATAATGCGATTTAACTAGGGAGTTACTAAATGTTGGCTCATTAAGACATTTAAGAAATCAGTTTTGTCATTTTAAATTCAAATAAAACCTATGATTAATGGCATTCAAAATGTGGTGTAAGGGATTTAAACTTTGAAATGCTAAATTCAAATAATTTTGAATAAGCATATTATACAAAATTAATTTTTCAATTTTTCAAAATTAAACCATAAAAAAGAATCCATTGCTTCTTTGACTTGTGCGTAGAAGGCGAATTAGTTGTTTCTAACTGTGTAATCACCTACCTTATTAAACACAATTACTCTAAATCAAAGTAATCAAGGGTCTAATCCTATGAAAATTATTAAGTTTTCACAAATTATACAAATGGGATAAACCAATTTTAACAATTTAAAATACTCCCATATGCTTTCAATACATTCAAATTAGAGTTTAAAATGAGTGTGAAAGCTTGGGAATTGAAGAAAGGGTCAAATATTTGAATAAACCCATATAACTGTAGACTGAGCAGAAAATGGCATATGCACCGCGGCTAATTACAGGTGCGTCATAGCTCGTGAGCCTTTATGCCATGTGCCGCGGCATGAGCTGCCATGCGTCATGGCCCATTACATGAGTTTGACAGCACATGAGATGAATTTCTGACATGTCTCAAATCTCCATTCGACGTTCAATTGAGGTGATTTTGGTGTCAAGCTTTCTCCTAACTTTAGCTAATAGCACAAGTTCCATAACTAAATTCATTTTCTATTAAAAGTTGGATACTCAAACTCATTTTCATTCCTTTTTCACAAAAGCTCACCATTAGGGTGTCTAAACTCACACACATGCGTCAAAAGCTTATACCAACCTTTAGACCCCTTAATGGATCATTTAAGATTCATGTAACACACCACATTCATTCAAATACACACATAACACAATTTCAACCCTCAACTCCTCAATTCACATAACTTTGCACACAATCATTAATATTCATCTTAAACAACCCAAAATATACTTCACTATACTTATACAAGTATTTTGGTCCTATACAATCTTTACAATCATACTATACAAACTCAGGCCAAAAAGTGCACAAAATTTACATAATGATAATGCAAGTGACTCAAAATAATGATATGAATCCTAATTGGCCAATTAA